CAAGCCGTCATTGAGTGCATTCGCAGAATGGATATGCAGGGAAATTTGTGGACATTTACATTTGTAAGGCAACACAGGCTCCTACAAAATGTTCCTTGAATCAATCATTTGGTACAGACACGTGATCCAGTCTTGCTGCTCCGCTCAGCGTATGCTGCCATTCCTAAGGAATCATACGCGTAAAGGCACCATACTGTATAGACTGTTACTTGCCAGCTTACAGGGTTGTTGCACGCTACAGTACTACTTGTGATTGCCTTGCATGTACTATCATTTGTAGATCATCTATGGTGATTTATCAATTAAATTCAATTAAAATGATGTTTTGCCATAGCTAGGTTGCATTACAAAAGGGTATCTATTGCTGATTCTACGTTCCCTTTTGCAGGTTGTCATGCTGGTGGGTCCATGTTCCATCGGCAGTCCATTGCTTTCTTTGCACATCCGCAGTGATAACTCCATTGTGACTTGGGCAGTCATTCCAGTATCCTCAAAATGGTTGGATGACCCCATTTCTAGCAACATTATCCCATCCAAATCACCAGAACTATAGAAATCTTAAAAAAACAACATGTTCCCTCTGGTTATTTAACATAGCCATGGAAAATGGCCCCTTTATAGATGGTTTACCTTTTAAAAATGGTGATTTTCCATGGCTATGTTAAATATCCAGATGGTACCCCAAAATTGACATCAACTGGTCGCATAGGGCTAAACAAATGCTACGTTCAGGGACTTGATCTCCACCTCGGAGGTCTATTGGCCCAGTGGCCGCTGGCCATACGTCGCCCCACGGCCAACGAGGACGGAAGGGAGCCGTTTCGGATGAGATCCTCAGCACGGGTCAATAATTTATGAACCCCATTCATTAGTTGATTAATAGTTATGGGGAAAATCCATATCGCATTAATTAGTTCAGAATTATATATATATATATATAATAGTCATGAATCCCATTCTTGATGGGATTAATGTGGTGAACCCAATAATGTATAAATCATCCCCAAGTCAACAGCATTTTCATGGCTGGGATAAATTATCCATCCCCAGCCATGGTCGTCGTTTACGACATTGATCCTCGGTCAGCAGGATTCATCAGGGAAGGGAGGTGTTTTTGACACCTCGTCTAGAAAGAACACAATTTTTTGACATTGTGGTAGCCCCATAAACAATAGAATAAAATCGTACCAAACTAGTGATAAATAACTTTTCAATCTTTTTTGGGGGTACTATAAATCAATTGAAACGGTGGTTTGAGTGATCCACGGACCATCGGCCGAAGACATGGTTTTTTTCGTGACCTTCCAGATCTTCTCTTTCATGCTAAGGTTGCAGTAGTCACCATGGTCACCACAGAAACTACATCAAACCATGGTCATGACCCCATTTGAAGGAGGCTGTTCCAGTTCTGGACTTACCATGCCGGCCAGATGCTCACATGGGCTCCCCGGTAGCCCATGTGATACATGCGCAATGCCCAATTCACCCCAAGGTTGGTTGGCGCAAGCACGAGTGAATCATGACACGAAGATGGGGATTTGTATGTGACTCAAAATAGTATTTGCAGGGTGAACCCTCTAAGATGGTTTGGTATGGTAGTGTTTCAGCATTCAGATTCACACACAGACAGAACTTGAACAGTGTTCAACCCCCGTGTTGATTGATTTAGTTGGGTAGGGTTAGACCATCGAATACTTTGGGAAATGATCTGAATCCCAATTTGTCATAACATATTATTTCCCAAGATTGGGGTTACCCTCTGGTAAACTAACATAGCTATGGAAAATCACCATTGTTTATGGGAAAATCCACTATAAATCACCATTTTGGTATACTATCCAATATAAGAGGATTTCCCACCATGGAGTGTGATTTTTCTTGCGGACATCACCTGACTTTGTAGGACTTTGCCGCCCCAAGGCACTGCGGGGTACTGGAACTTTTGCAGCTGAAGCATGATGGAGAGTTCATATCCATTCATATCCCATTTATTGATATTTATTGTGATAAAATTCAGTAGGTGCAGTGCATATTGGATGTATCCCATTACGTACCCTAGAAATCCCTAGAATCTTGGAACTGGGATGATCAAACATGCCTATGAGACCCATGGGGAAAGGTGGGATGAACATCCACAGATATCCATGGATCATATATCTGGGTAAATTTCATCACGACCTCACTGCGACCGAGCCCTGGAATCATGGTCAATAATGGAAATCATCCCCAAATGGCCTTAATTCAGATTAGTGAAATATTACAATTTAACCATATATATATATTATTATATCTATATATATATGAGCTATTTTATTTCCCTGCTCACTAGGTTGCCATAAACATCAGACACCTCAATTTGAGTATGTTTGAGTCACATTTTTTTGAATACAACCCAGAAGAAGATATCTTATCATATCTTATCATGCAGATACAATGTATAATATCTTCGACACATATTTGTTTACTTTGCCCACACAACTGGGGATGCAAAGACTAGTGAGGTATCACTAAATTGGCCCTGGACATTTGTTTTTGCTGAACACAGGTGCATTCAAATCGTGATTTGATGGGTATCCTGAATCCAAGCAGGCCTGACGAGCCTGATCTTGCAGGGCCAAGCTTTGCGCAGACCTGGCTCAGTAGGCAAAAGATACCGGGCTGTTTTCTTGGTGCTACTGTAAACGGAGAGAATGGGGAATGGGATGATTGATCATAGTTCCTATGGATAAGTCCCCCATTCCCTAGCCCCAGTAGTTTTTCCCCAACAGCAAAACATTGCTATGGGGTCTTGAGCCCAGATTAGCTCCTGTGCGATCCGGTGCAGCTTCAACACCAGGTTCCGGACAAGGTTCCGGAGGGTTCTGGTGCAGATACCTCGTGAGGTTCTGGAGGGTTCCGGTGCAGATACCTAGTGAGGTTCCGGAGGGTTCCGGTGAAGATACCTGCTGAGGCTCCGGAGGGTTCTGTGCGGTTCCGGAGGGTTCTGGTGCAGATACCTTGTGAGGTTCCCGAAGTTTCCGGTGCAGGAATTCGGTGAGGTTCCAGAGGATACGTGATTAGGTTCTAGAGGGTTTTGGTGCAGGTACCTGGTGAGGTTCCGGAAATTTCCGGTGCAGCTACCTGATGAGGTTCCGGAGATGCGTGGTGAGGTTCCGGAGGGTTCCGGGGCAGATACCTTGTAAGGTTCCGGAAGGTTCCGGTGCAGAGACCTTGTGAGTTGTGAGGTTCCGGAGGGTTTTGGCGGAGAAGATGCTTGGTGAGGTTCCGGAGGGTTCCGGTGCAGATACCTTGTGAGGTTCCGGAGGGTTCTGGTGCAGATGCTTTGTGAAATTCCAAAGGGTTCCGTAAGCACTTATTTTTTATGGCATAAGCGCTTAATTTTTATGGCATAAGCACTTTTTTTATGGCAAAACCGCAGAAGCTTTCAAGCTGTTGGGGATAGCACCTGAGTTTATTTTTTTTGAGATGGACACTAAGCGAACTGAACTTGGAAATTTCGGCCGGAATCTTACTACGACCTGCATTTGTTTGGCTAGTCGCCCAAGTCATCTGTAACTTTCAAGCAAGGTACTTGCACATACCCTCTGGTCATTTACCCTAGCTATGGAACATCGCTCTTCTTAAGAGGGAAATCATTTGTAAATGGGCCATTGTCCATAGCTATGCTAAATTACCAGAGGGTACCACAATACAGACGATACACACCGTTTTGTCTCAACAATAGATTAACATATGGACAGGAAATGATGCTCTAAAGCATGAGATACTGGCATGCCACACCTTCAGACAGACTTACCGAGCAATTGTTGGTGATTTTGCCATCATGAATCATGACTATTCTGATCGCAGGTCCATCGCGTTCGACGTAATGTTGCATCTGATTGTTGGGTAGACACATCTCTATTTCTGCTGGTTATTCATGCTTATACCTTATGCATCCACAAGCGTTGGTGATCTGTATATATAGATTCTTGCTAATTGATCTTATCCGCACACATGTGCCATGGTCAACAGTTGATTCGATTCATAGTGGGGAATGTCATAAATGTCATAGCTCCATTCATAGGGAACGATATTGGCCAATATCAGGATTTCATGGTCAAAACATTTGCTATTTTCTGGTCAGCACCCCATTCATAAGCTTCTGCTATAACAATCTATAACTAGTCTACAACCATCAATGACCACCTACAACCATCTATAACTAGTCTATAACCATTATATCATTGGGAAATCCTATTGATCAGGGCGCCCGGAACCCTGCGGCGAACAAAAACAGGCTGCTCCCTCGGCCCATCGCTTCGACGCTACTGCAGAGGTCATCGTTGGGAAAATCTGCTGAAGTTCCATGGATTTCCCAATGAAATTTGGTGGTTGATGTGTGTTTTTTTAAATGCTTTTTTAATGGTTTATATACCAAACAAACATTAACCATCAAAAACAATGGTTTTTAATGGTTTGAGTGGTTATATATATATATTTCCTTAAAAACCACTCCATTGATTGACCTTTCAATCTGGACACCACTTTTTGACTCTCAAATGATAGCGGTGAAGTCAAAATGCCTAAAAGAGTTGGTTCGTGGTCCAATTGGTCACGAATGCAAACGTTGAGAGGTACTGGTATCCTTGGGGTGTTGTTTTTGATACCCTGCAGTTAGCAATTCAAAATCTTCATGTTGAATTGCAAAATGAATGATGTTCAATCATAAAACCTTCTGTATTCTTGTCAAATCATCGTCGGGAGTTCCCAAATCTTTGCTTTGGCCAGCGACATGCTGGAAATTTCATAAGAAATCATGGCCCTTTTGGAAGGTTCCTTCCACCTGAACCGTAGGATCAAGCCTGGCGATGGCCGCTTTGATTAGGGCTTTTTCAGGTCATGCCTCCGTTTCTAGATGGGAATCATCTCAAATAGTTACAACACTTTTGGATGAGATGATCCTCAGCAAAACAGTGGATGATAGTGGATCAGTGGATGTTTTTGGATCGGGGGCTGCCATGGACTGCAGGCAAGATGAGCAACGCTTTTTGCAGCTGGGCGGAGAGGTGCAGCCGGGAAGGGCCCGTTGGCAGCGACGCAGCAAAGTTTCGAAGCCATTGGGGAGTTGCTTTCCGAGCTACCAACTCAGATGTGCAATGTATATAGTACGTATTCTGTGTATTAATATATATATGTTTGATTATTATGGTATTTTTCTATAATATATATATATATATGATTACTAAGTTTCATACTCAGGATTACCAACAATGGTGGTTTCCTTGGGTCATTAAGTTTCTGACCCATGGCTATTTGCCGGGTATTCTTTGTACATCAGCTTCCAGCCGTTCGGCTCGACATGCCTCAGATAGCTGTGCAAGTGGACTTGAAGTCGTTTGGCGTTGATTGAAGATTGAAGACCCTCTTTGAAATCATCCACGCTTTTAAGTCAAAATTCTTGCTAACAAGAAAACATGTTCTTATTTTTCACAGCAGCTGTGTAGGGATCTTTCATGATCTTTCCGCATCAAGAAGGTTTATGCTAACAATCATTTTGCGGGCGAGCTTCACTAAGATTCAATGGTTTTGTATGATAGAGACAGGACAGACGACAGACGATCATTATTCTATGATATGGTCATCCGCATTTTACATCAAACAGGATATTAGCTTATGTGACTTAACATGTATATTACATACATCATGCTTGATAATTATTGAGAATTCTCAAGGAATATTAGGGTTTCAACCCACATGTAGATAGATATTTATCCAATCTCTCTATGGGTCTCTTTGAAACTAGCCCTAAACCCAATGGTTAACCATCATTTTCCCGATGACATGCCATTTTCTTAGAGGCATAGCATGGTATTTTCCCAATTCCAAACAGTGCCCACATCGCCTCAACGGGCGACTCCCCATGGCCTAACTGCGAATGTGGCCATGTCACGGCTTTGCGCTGCAGTGGCGCTGGCGCTGCTGAGCGCTGTGCTGCTCGGCTGGGGTTTTTGTTGCGGCGAGTGGAGCCATGTGGAGCCCGGTGACATGGCGCTTGAAGCAGCAAAATTGGGACTTGGCTATGGATCAATACCTATACATAGCATTTTTAGGGGGATGAACATCCATTTACCAGCTATTTTGATGTTCACCAGGGGGATAGGGTTTTGACCCATCCCCACTTGACGAGCAACAAATTCCACTTGATCCGCGAAACTTGGGACTCAAGCTAGAAAAAATATGGGACTTCACTAACAGAAATTGGGACTCAATCAGCAAAATGGGATTTTCACCAGCAACGTAAATGTCAAAAAAGGAGACTTGAATACCAACAAAACACCATCAGTATGTGTAATCATACCATTGTAAACCCTGATAAAACTGATGAATGGTTTGTGAATGCGTGATATTGCTTTCAACAATTTCTATCATTCCTATGGAACATGTATTCAAATCCCACTAAACTAGAAGAGGACTGATTCGGCAGCAGCTTGGGCTTATCACCCGTCGTGTAGATGGGAACTGCACCCGCAGGTGCGACCTTGAAGACCAACATCCTTGGAATCCAAAAGGTGTGGAAACACCATCCGGAAACCCACCAGACAGTGATAGATCTTTATGAACCGGAGTGACTTCTATAATCTAATTTACATACGTTCTAATCTGCACTTTTTAGGGGTTTAATTTATGTCTATTCAGATGCATTTGATGTACATTTTTTTGTGTTTTCCATAGTCCGGCCCTGGTGTCGCGCCATGAATCAACAGCCGCACTGAGGCTGTTGGTCGTGCTCTTGGACCTGACGGAAACTCGGAGATGCTGTCCCTGGCTGGGAAAGCCCCTATAAACAATGGGACAATCATGGGAACATATGGGAAAAAGATGGGAATTCCACCTGTAAAATGGCACTTTTAATGGAAAAATCAGCGAAGTTTTAATGGGAATGTCGAAATCGCATGTTTGATGACACTGGAGGCTATAGGATTTTATGGCAAATGATTTTCAAATTAGATGGTGTAAATGGAGTAGCTCTGTAAAATAACCGGTAGATGCTAGTGGATTTATGGTCAATGAGTTAGTAGATGTAAATGGATGACCCAGCCTAAATTCCAAAATCGAGACCTTATTTTTGCATAAGTTTCACATTCTTTGGGGGATGTAAACTGTAAACCCAATTCGAAATATGTTGTTTTCATAATTTTACCCAAACTATACCACAACATATGTTTAAAATTGAGTTTACCTAATATTAGGTGAATTGCTGGCTTGGTTTCAGAGAGATCTTCTCTACATGGAACCATGGATTATCACTAGCATTTCCTGGGATGTTGACCTGCCACATGTCGACCTGAATTCTGGGGATGTTTTAGGCGTACATCATGGGAAACATACATAAATAATATGCATAAAGACATGTAAATATGATGATAATGATGATGATGATGATTATGATGATTATTACTATTATTGACATTTATTGACGATCAAATATATCTGTGCCCTGACCAAAATGTGCTATGGTCAGTTTCTTTTGTATACAGTGTATAGAATATTTTCGGCTGGGTACTGCATGTCCTTAATATTGCCGTTTTCGGCAAGGGTCAGCAGAGGGAGGCAATCAAGTTCGCAGCATCTCGCACACGGTTTTGGTTGGAAGACATGTTCCGAAGTAGTACCGACTGATAATCCAGTAGCTATCCTTTCGGTTTCCCCAAAGGACTTGATGTTGGTATCCTTTGCAAAAACCTGAGGCATTCCAACTCCAATCCCCCCAAGCCTTCTCCCTTGAACCAGCTGGCAGCCTGGCATCCTTAGGACAAAGTGCCCAAAGGCGCCGCAAATCTTCACATCTATGGCTTTGTGGGAGCCATTTGCGTTGGCATCGTCGGACTCCAGCCGCTTCGGTAAATGCGGGCCAGAGCCCACATTTCGGGCTCAACAGGGATCTTTTTTGGGTTGTGGGGAAATGGGGATCGATTGCCAACTTACAATTCTTGTGATATGTGCACTGTGCATACTGTGAATATGTATTATGTATACAATATATACACAACTGCGCAGCGCAATGAATTTTGGTAAGGTCTAAATGTGATCAATACTCATCAACGGACGGGACATTGGATCCTCAGTATGTTATTGGGCGTTGGAGTATTATCCGCATTGTAGACAAAGGATGAATCATGACAACATGACGCCATAGGTTATGTGTGTTGCAACTCTGCATTGTCACCATCAACATCTCTTCCCATCCATATCCAGCATTGCCTTTGTGGACTTTTGTTGCCTTCCCAGTGAAATGGTTCAGGTTTTTCGCAGCGAAGCTGCCAAAGATGTCATGTCTGGAGCAACTGAATCTGCAGCGGAAGGCTCAGCACATTTTCACAGGTGGGGTCCGGGGGTGAGTTTAAGCCTCTGTGTGGCGGGGTGTCTTGCACTAAGGGAAGCAATTGGTGAAAATGTGCAAAGTGAAGCTAGTGAAGATGCAATTTCAGATCCGTCAGCACTCTGTGGTTGCACTTGAAGCTCCAGTCTGAACCTTTCAGAGAACTGGTGTTGTTGGCAAGTGGGGTCCACCATGAAATGCTCGGGGCAATCAGAAAGGCAAGAGCTGAAAGGGTTGCTGTACTTGTCAAGAGCTTGAAGCCCCGGAACTTGAAGATTGGCAACCTCACCAGCCTTATGCACTCAGCTTTAGGATTCAATCATGCATGCAGCGGCCTCCGTAGATAGTTCCTTGTTGCGGTTATCTTTTCATTATTTGATACCTGGAAGGTGGATGAAGGTGGCAGACGCTCATCCATCCTGACCGAAGACCATGCATTCAATGATCACCAAAATCCGCAACAAAAACATGCTCTTTCAAAAAAAAAACGGAAAAAAAACCAAAGGACAAACCATACTTGTTCCTATGAAAATCTCCATTTATACAATGTGGGGCCCCCAAGATAGCTAAGTTGGCTTATAACTCCAATAGCTATGATTTATGGTACTTATAACTATAGTATTCATGGGGTTTATAAACCAACTAACATCACTGGGGGGGTTCCACATTTATTGGGATTTCTCAGCTTGCCATATATGTTTTTTTCTTTCCCTTGCCAAGTGAGGCCTTGCTCTGGCGCAAATCTTCCTTCTGTTCTCTGAGCAGACCTGCATCTTAGCCTTGGGCGCGGGGACCTTGTCGCTGTTTCTGCTACAGATGGGGCGCTGGGCAAATGACGCGGTGAACGTGGAGTTTCTCAGGGTCTTTGGACAAATGATGAAGGAGGAAGAGAGGAGACCCGGGAGACCCGGATGGAGTCGGACAGTTGAACCATGGATGGCTGGAGGGCTGGAGTTTATTTATTTTTGTTATATACTGTATATAATATCTATAATATATATATATATATATTGTTACTCATCATTCTTATCTATCAAGATTTATCATTATTTAGACTTGTTGCCAGTACCTTTTCTTACTATTGTTTTTTTATTTCCAAGGGATGGGGTTGTTGAGAACTGACGAGGATTGACGCCCCAAAAAGGAATGGCTTTCGGATTTATTCAATCTATGCGAAATGGGGGATTTGTTTGGCTTTGTAGAATTTGATGATTGGTATAGTCCCTGTAGTCGAGTGGCTTTGTGCTACAGAGACGGTGGTTTTCTGAAATGTCAAGCAGTGAGTTGAAATGCCACTGGTTGGGATGCAACGTCAAGAATACAAACCGTATGGAATATACGCCTCTAGATAAGTTTCCGCCAAGTAAACAGACATGTTCAGTATCATGTTTACAGACAAAATACGTGGCTACTAGCCATGTGGTCCCGTAATGCACCTACCCACTGGGAATTAAACATGGCTAGCTGGAAACTCCCGCATTTATGGATGATTTTTCCATTTATAGGGGATTTCCAATATTTGTCCTATATTTTCCAATGGTTTTCTCAGGATTTCACATGAACGCCTCCATTTCGTGCGGGGGTTTCCCAGCCCTGATTTCGGGACATCGAGTTGGTCTGATTTGGGCCATGGGGCTAAGGAAGATATCATGATTCACCTCATTCCTATATGCATATATATATATATATTACATTATATATTATATCAAAAAAAAAAATATTCATATGCCATAGTGGATTGTAGTGGGTTTGTTCCAAATCATTTGAACTTCTCCACTCTTGACCTCCCCAAACTGGTGTTGCATTTGAGGGAAAGTCATCATTCCTCCAGAAATTTGGAAGTGACATATGGATTGCCTAAGCTCCGCCTCCAAAGTGTTCCATCCGGGCTGATGACTTGGGAAGATGACCCACCGAATTCTATCGCAGCACAGATAGACTCTTTTTTTCTCTGGTTGGATGTGGGTATGGATCAAAATTAGGTACCCCAATAATTGGATGGTTAATACTAAACTAGACTAACATCTGTGGTCCCCTAGGTCTTCCATTTTGACCCACATCCATGTGATTGGTGGTTTTTCTTTGTTCTCAACCCTGGGATGATGATCCCAACGAGTATTTCTTCAGCTGGCTTGAAATCACCAACCAAGCGTTGTTCAATGAGAAGCATGTCTGTCGAGGACTAGCCGCCGACCGCCGGCTGCCTTCTATTTCCTGATGCTTGGTGTCCAACATGGGAAGCCAGCGGGACAGTTTGGGGTAGCAAATCGTCCATTTAGTTCAAGGATTTACATGGATTTACATGGATTTACCTTTTTTTAAATATATTTTAATGGGATTTAATGGGTGATTTTCCATAGGTATCTTAGCCTACCCAAAAAATGACCAGACAGAAGATCCAAATTGGTGAGGCTTGGAGGTAGCCAACAGTTTTCCCAGGCGCCATGGGCCATGGATTTTTCCATGGGGCAACCGTCTGCCAAGGGCACACGCATCATTCGGGATTGTCCGAAATGGAGCATACCTTAAATAATTGTCATTAAAACCTATTGAAACAGGAAAAATGGTGTATTATATTATATATATATTATATTATGATAATCATTGATAATCACTGATCACCAATGCATTTTTTTTGGCCAGATCTCCAATGACTTGTTTCGCTCTCCAGGATGGGTTTGTTCTTTTGTTTGGTCAGCTTCCCCCGACGCCTCACCTTGCTCTGCACTCTCATCGCTACTCTGGCGGATCCCTGGTTTTGGTGGGGTTTTTCGATGACTTGGGGAGGTTTTTAACGTGGAAAACCGATGAAAGGCTCCCTTGAAACTATGGAATACTATGGACAACTAACACAGATATACACCTGGAGGGTGCTTCGAAAACTTTTTGAAGGCGATATGTTCATGACCTCATACATCTGGCAGGCTTGGCGGTCATCTGGGATTCCCAACGTTTTCGTGGGAATAGATGCAACAGCACTGGATACAAGCAATAGCCATGAGACATAATCAAACATGTGCATGTTCACTCAAGAACAGGAGGAAAGTGCTGCTATGCTGCCAGATCTTTGGCCATCCTGGTGTTTTGCAGTGTTTGCGCACACGGCCGCATGCAGAGTTGGTTTAAGGGAAAATTGACGGGAAACAGCATATTTGACCGGAAAAGCCTGTGGTTTCCTTATTTTTTTTCCATAAGTCAATCGATTACATCACATTCTCTCCTCACTTTCAGTGGCTAAATATCAATTATTTTCCCAGGACCATTGGGTCTATGTCTTGACAAATTACAACGACCTCACTGCGACTTCACTGGAAATTGTAGTTAGGAAGGTGAATCATCCAAAAATTACTAAACACTTCAGGTTGGTGAATTATTGTCATTTATCCACAACCCCCATGAACGTAGTGGTTGAATAATCCCTATGAAATCCTCATGACTATCCGATAATCCGATTATCATCCCATTGTTTGTCATTAAATTATATGCATACACACACACATACATCTGGTGGTTATACCATTTGAGCCTTGAGATTGGTCATTGTACCTCCGATAAGGCTCTAGTAAACAATTTTGAGTGTTTAAATCTCCATTCAATCACCATGAAGTCCCCATAAATCTCCATGAATATAAAGCCCATTTGAGGACCATTAGATCAGTAGATATCTAAAATTTAACCTGACATGAACCATAGAAAAATAATCCATCATTATATATATATATATCTAGATATAGAGCTTAACTATACAAATTATATCATATAATCCACGGGCCACGATATTCCACTTACGTGTTGTAGGTTGTAGATTATATGATTGTGGATCCACTTATGAATTATCAGATAATCCACTCATCCTTATTGTAACAACATTGTAGATTGTAGTTTAGATTGCTTCATATAGTCGACTAATATAGTAATTATATATATAATTATATACTGTATACAATTTCATACTGTGTATGATTATACTGTATACTGTATATATATATTTTTATATGTGTAGAATCTTTCGATCTATATATGGCTATATTAACACAGTAACCCAGGACCCCATGGCCGCGGTGGGTGGCCTGCTCTTTGGCGGCCCTCAGCTGCTCTCTGGGCCGAACCGCGGCACCAAGACGCTGGCAGGATCGACCACCTGCGGCCTCGTCGCGCGGCGAGACGATGGATGCTGAGAGCCATCTGAAATGGAAAGTTCCTAGGGTAAACACGGGTAAACTCACATAGCTATGGAAACCATGGCCCGTTTTTATAGATGATTTATGATGATTTTAGCTCTAAGATGGTGATTTTTCATAGCCTATGTTAAATAACCAGAGGGTATAGTCCGTTAAATTGGCTAAGAACCCAGCGAAAATGCATCCATATATAACATAATTTAGTAGCACATCAAAAAATGGCTAATAAACTAAAATGGTTAATAAGCCACGTATACCTGGGGAATCCTGATATATATATATATATGATATAGGGGAATTACCTGGACTACACATTAAAGTTAGGCTGGGTGTGGAACAGCGCAAAGGAAGATGTGCACCACTGTGACTTGAGATATGCATGGATATTGATACGATTGAGGCGACGTATCATGCCACATGCAATAAGATCAATAAGGCAATCTAAGAAGTTTCACACAGCTCCGAATCAATGGACGCCTGTTCCCGATATAAATGGCTCCATGCTCGTTTTGTGGAACCTCGAACATGTTTTTTTTTTTGGAAAGTAACATCCTTTCAAGATGAGGCAGTGCTATTATATACATATATATATACATATTCATATGTAGTATAGGAATATAATATATATATATATCGATATGTATGTACATATATATATATGTATGTATATATATATATTCTATATATATATATATAGTACACAGTTATTCCACATATATTCCACATGTAGATATGTATTAATTATGCAATTTGTTTCGATGTATCTAATAGGAATTGTCTTGCGTCAGCGTGGCGTCACTTTGGTGCACCGGTTGGACGGTGAGATAGTCCCAAAGCCACCCGAGACGGTATGGGGCCGGTATTGCCTTGTTCGTTCCAAATACAGTATATACCCTCTGGTAATAGCTGACATAGCTATCGAAAATGACCATTTATAGTGGATTTTCCCATTAAAAATGGTGATTTTCCATAGTTATGTTAAATTACCAGAGGGTACATCTACGGAATTCTACGGATGCACACGGTATTTTGTGTTCAATCATATTGGGATGATTATTCAACTATATTCAACTGGTTGATATATTTTGGGACGGTTGACACCATCAACCAGGCCCGTTTTCTTGCTGTTCCGTTTTGCAGGTTGAACTTGTTGCAGCATATGCTATTTATATATATATATAAATACCACCAGAATATCCCGCTTTAGCAATCCCATGAACATCCACATCGACAGAGATGCGTAAATCCATCATATCCCCATAGCCATAACTTTGATTAAATCCCGTGAAATCACCATTTATCGCTGGTTAACATGAATCTCCCATATGCGGTTGGAAAAAAACAATTGCTGGTTGACTGGTTGACCCCTAATTTATGTTGGTCAGATCCAATTCAATGCGCATGTTTCGAGCTTCAACCACACGAAATCCCCGTGGATGATGAATCTGCCCGTCCCGCGTAGGTTGCATGCCTTCTGGCGGTGGCTGTTGTGCGGACGACGAGCGAGGAACTGCTCACAAGGGCCGACACGCTGGTGCTGGGACTATTGAGTGCCTGGTTTTGCAACCCCGCCGTTCGCCAGTTTTTTTGGTCATCCCAATAAACCCAGTGCCAGAGAGGAGAACTGCTGGGAACATCAAAAAACCCAAAGGGGCCCAAGCTGGGAATATCCCATGACCCATGCCGAAATCTGGCTGGTGGTTTCAGAGATTGTTCATGTGCCCTACCTGAGATAATGATGTGCCCAATTCATTCATATTCGTTTAATGGGCAGAATAATGATTCATTGATTGCCATCCACTTCTCACTGATTCGTCTCCTAATTTTCGTTGGCACCCCGCTATCCCCGTGTAACATCCCCGTTTTTGATCAAACATGGCGGGCCGGGAAATCATCTACAAATAGGGTTTTATAACTCCACGGCCCGCCGGGAAATCATCTACAAATAGGGTTTTATAACTCCACGGCCCGCCATGTTTGATTACGGGGGGTACCCTCTGGTAATTTGTTACATAGCTATTGAAAATGGCCATAGAAATAGTGGATTTACCCATTGAAAATGGTGATTTTCCATAGCTATGTTTGTTTACCAGAGGGTAATCTGATTAGTGGACTATGCATGACACTGGGTCCATAAAATATTGATCACATCTCCATGCATTTCTGGAAAAGGATCCACAAGCATATTGTGGCCAATCATGATCTGGTAAATAAATGGGTAACATGTGGTAACATATACGATGTCATCATTCATTTCTTTATCCACATATATATTTCTAGGCATTTTCCATATATCATCCATTCTTCAAAAACAGCTATAAGTCAATGGGTCTATATGATCCATATAATCTCCAATGATAGTCCATATATTATCAAACATGACATATAACGTTACTAACTCCTCATTGTGTTCTAAAAATCAATGGCATTCATGAGTCACTATCCATATTTGTTCCATACATCACATATATATATATATTTATCCCATGACGCATTTTTTATATGATCTCAAAAAACTGATAGAGACACATATTTGCCGGACATATCATTATCCATATTATCCACAGATCATGTATATTCTCCATATCATCATTTTTTGTCAAACTGGATCGCTCTGAGGTGGCCTCTCTGCTGCCAGCTGTGAAGTGGCAGGAGGCTGCGATTTTTTTTTGGGGGAAAATTCACCCAGAAAAAACGGGAATTCCACCAACAGAAAGGCTGAAAATGTCGCAGAAAAGTTCGGATCTTAATCAACAATGTGAGCAAACTAGACTTTTTTTACAGACAAACATGGGGGTTCAACCAACTAAAAAGGGCATTTCGCCCGGAAATGTCGCAATGGACTTTAACCAGCCAAAAGAGGATTCAACATGAGTTAACCAACAAAGTTAGGGGGGTATGAAGCCAACAATGATGGTGATACAATGGGGTATGTACTGTATGTATGTATGTATGTATGTATGTATGTATATATACATACATACATACATACATACAACCAACAATATGATTTTGGTTTGTCGGAAAATGGGGCAACTACACATAAAACATGCAATAAGAAAATGGGGAACATGATGATGAACCATGACCATGAATGATGGCTAGTAAGGGAACCGCCCCTAACATGGATGACTTGCGAGCAGCCCCCTTCAGCCACACGAGGCCTGTTTGTGTACCTGGACGACAATATGCTGATTAGCCACTTCAACTGGACATTGGCGTCATTGATGTCACGACATGTTGGGAGGTCTCTCTGGTTAAGACGGCAAGTGAACTTTCCCATATTTACAGGTTACAGTATCATAGATGAATTACCTCTAGAACATATGGTCGTTTTCAATGGTTCTTCTTAAATCAGTGGAGGTTATACATATTTTTTCATAGTGTTTTCTGCAGTGTGCTGCCGCTGTCTGCCGAAATTGGGCCTCGTCCACCATGTTTCAACGGACACTGCGGAAATTTTCACAGATTTTGCTATACGACTTAACATTTGGATTTACAGTGCTGAGTTGGAGGGGTTTGCCCAGAAAGGGCAATTTTCATGAGGAAGATGAGGATAAACATTTAATTTTGAGGACACTATTCTTGAAGGAACCAGATTAGCACTGAGTATACCTCATTCTGGTTTATATATATATATATATATTTGTGGGTTGATTCAATTCCCTTCTTTCCCCTCTTTGTTGGGTGCAGATTGTTGTTGGGTTCACTATCCTCTCAACTTTGGGCCTTTTTTGTGAGGCTTTGGAACTGGGTTGCTACTGCTCCTGGTGTCATTTCTAGCGCGCTCCATGGGCTTCTTGGTGCGTGAAGGGCGCCAAAACAGGTTACTGCCTTTTGTTGGGCATTAGTTAAACTTGTTAGCCGTGGAAGGAGTGAAGGTTACCTTCCGGCAGACAGACACAATTGAACATCCACCATTTATATCCATTTTGATTTGTATAGATGATTTACCTTCTCACAACGCGGTGTTTGTTTACCAGAGGGTATCAAATGCAACTTGAAATCGCGGGACAGCTTCTGTTTTTTGTAGCCATTCCAGCCCGAATGCACATGGCGAGAAGTCCTTCCATTTGGGGTCATGGGTTTGCAGGGGAAAAACGAGCACATGTGTAAAGAGATCTATTCTATATCGTACCATTGATGTCGGGTAGGGCAGTTTTGCGACCGCCTACTGAAAACCCAAAGGCATATCGCAATGTAGAGTGTGACAGGCTTTCTGACCGCAAGGTATCTCAAAGTCATGCGGTTTTCTCCAAAAATGACATCTAGATACCCCAAAATGGCAAACTGTTTGATGGTTTACTCATGTTGAATCAATTTGTTGATCTTTTTTTGGCATGAATTTTGAATTTTCAGCAGATGCCACTGGGCACCAATTCATCAGCCAGGTCATCAGCCATCCTTTCTTTGTGTTGCGTTGATTCCCTTGTTGCATGTTGTTGCTGAATACCTCCGAGATTCATGGGCAGATCATATATGATATCTGAAGTAGTTCCCATATGATATCTGAAGCCCAAACTGGTTTGATGGTTATAAGATGCTCTAAGTTCGACTGACTTATGAAACACGACGACTCACAGCTCCCCTAGGCTGCGAATTAGCGGCCCTGCAGCTGCTGATGACGTAACAAAAAGGGGCGGTGTTCGCCGACCAATGGCGGCTTGAGCATTTGTTCATCGGTGTTTCTGAAATACTATGTTTTAACATTACATAAATATATATATTCATATATATATGATATACTATATATATACTATATATATACGATATATATATACGATATATATATATATGTATATATATACACATTAAAAAGGACAGAACAGTGCCATTTCCACCAGCAACGTAAGCGGTAATGAGTGGTGGTTTTCATGTTAGTGAATAGTGGCCTTGTTTCGTTCAGTGTCCATTCCGGATGATGTTCAAAACGGGGGTTTCTGGAAATGGAGGATCCCCAAGACCATGGCTTTCAATACTAAAATGGTCTAGTTTAGATGATTCGAGGGTACCGCCATTTCAGGAAACCTGCAAATATTTCAAATTTTACTTAGTTCATTTCCATATGCTACATGAGACGATATGTATATTTTCCCCCATTCCCAGACAAGCCCAATATCACATTAAGTTGGTAATATATTGCATTAGTACATATGTATATATATATTAATATATATATATATATTATTAATATATATATATTATTAATATATATATATATAATATATATATACATATGTAAACATCCCAGTACCGCATTGATACCCCAGTTTCAGGTGCACACCTACGCAGAAGACGAGAACCTCCACTTGCAGCTGCTACGACCCAAAGAAACGACTCCTGAGCACCTTGAGCGGATGAATGTGGAGCCGATGGGGGTGAAACAAACATAGCTATGCAAAATCACCATTTTTGATGGCTAAATCAACTATAAATGGCAATTTTCAATAGCTATGCTGAATTACCAGTGGGTATAATTTACACCACAATAGAACCATAAAGGAATGGGTCAAAACCTATGATTACAAATTATTACCATATTTTGGGAGTACACCTGCATAGAAACCACCTATTCTAGCTTACGAAGGGTGCCAGGGTTTTGACTCATAGCCATATAGCTATAATAGAACATAATTATAACTATAACCATAATGAACCATTCATAGCTATATCTATAGCTGGTATAGTAGAATATATATATAATAGAACCATGTAGCTGGATAAATTATAACGACCTCACGTTGCGACCCCACGGTAAATGATGCGCCTAGTAAGGCGTAACTATTTCCGAAATAGGACCTGAGTTCAGATTGGTGAATGATTCTCACTTGCTCAGCAAGTGGGTATATCCTAAAATGGGGGATCTACAAAACCATGGGTTCCGATACAACATGGTTTAATATGGTCATCCATGACTTAGATGATTTGGGGGTAGCCCTATTTTAGGAAACCTATGGAAACCTCGATATATGTACTGGATCCATATGGCTGCGAACATTTGAGGACATCTCTTGGGACCACATCCTAGCGTCGAAGATGGATTCGGGATCTGAAATGGGTCGTCAAGCATCAAAGAAGAGGATATTATGTCCAACATGGCACCCATGGATGATATACTTTACTTGACGTTGTTTTTTTTAACCAATAAGCAGCTTCGCATTGAGTGTCGATTGCCCACAATGTTTGGGATTCCATGGGCTCCAACCTACTTAGATGCTGTGGTGTGCCACCAGGATGGTGGTTCGATGATGTGTTCTCCATAGCCTCTGGTCATCCAACATGGCAAATCCCCGAACTGGAGGCTTTTTTGGTCGGAAAAATCGTAGCAAACTATCCATGGAATGATTTTCCAGCCATGTTTGATGATTATCGGATGATATTTTCAAAAGGTTTCTCCAGGTTTTTCATCCACTGAAAAACCAGCACCTTGGTGATGCGGCCCGTCGTGCACCATGGGTTTTGCCCCCAGCATATAGTGGGGATCTAATTCGGATACAACCAATAACCAATGTAACTGTAAAATCATATGAACAACATATGATACAATATAGTAAACGGTCAGTAAACGGCAAACTTCGCACATCCATCACAAGTAACTTGTTTAACATCACATGGGTAGATCATACAGCAATACGTTTTTGGGTGCTACCGCATTGGTCATCAACGGCAAGGGGGCCATTGGCTTGACGGGCAGTTGGCCACATTTGATGAGACTGAAACTCCATATATGTTCAAAGACTTTTCGACCCAAAACTATTTGGCACTACATTACAACCATTATTGGCCATCATTAACCATTATTAATTAACCATCAACCATCATTAACCATGATCATTACAACTATATGTCAAGATGTGTTTTTTCATTACAACCATCAGGAAAACCATCCCAGTGTTGGGCACAGACTCCCATTTAATCGCTGTGCTTAATCTCAAAGAAAAAGACGTGCTGCATAACCGCCCAGTATGATCTATCAGTTTTCCATCATAAATATCCTATATATATATATCTTTGGTGTTTCACTCACCATTAAGTCATACTAAGTTTCTAATTTTGGCGGTCAAGCATAGTGGCAGTTGCAATCCCCACGCTTGGAGAATTTTGCTTGCGAACTCCCCTTTGTTGCTGGTTGAAATCACTATCTCCTCAAATGAACACCACAATCCCAAGTTTCAGTATTTTCATGGTGAATATTGGTTATATGCTCATGATATCAATTATATACCCATTTTATCCGCATTTTATCCCCATTTTTTTTGATGGTGAAATCCCCCAGTTTTGGCCAACGGCGAAGGTCAAAACCAGGCTGCGTGGTGCTGCTGCATGGTGGGCCTGGGCACCTAGGATGGGTGGGTTTCCAAGATATGGATCACATAATTCACATAAACATAGTCATCCTGAAGTAGAATATGGCACCGTCATTTTTTTAAAATAATGTCCATATTCAATCTACTCCAGGATGACTATACTATACGTACATATATATATATGATTTTATGTATATATGTATGTATATATATATATGTACATATATATATGTATACGTACATACTGTATATATATATATATGTATGATTTTATGTATGTATGTATATATATATATATATATACACATGTCTCTACATATAGGCATACACATTCAATTTTTACGACGACCACTGACCATTTACCACCAACACGAAGCTTACGAGCCGCCGGCAGGTCCTGGATCTCAGGGTCGCCCTCGCAGTTCTACGACCATGCGCAGGCGACGGCCTGGAGGATGTGTGGTTTATTGGAGATCAATGGATTACCATAGGAAAACCATAGGAAAACCATAGGAAAACCATAGGAAAACCATAGGAAAATGGAGGTTTACCCTCTGGTAAACATACAAAAAGCTATTGAACATGGCCATTGAAATAGTGGATTTACCCATTAAACATGGTGATTTTCCATAGCTATGTTAGTTTACCAGAGGGTAACGCTTAGTGAATTAGTGGACATCAATGGATTAAATTTGATATTAGACCTAATGGATTTGTGGATATTAATGGATTAATGTATATGAATGATTAATGGATGATGTTTCATGATGAATGATCAATGATTGATGGATTATGTTGATGATTAATGATTGAGGATTGAATTATATAATTGTTCATGATAGATTATTAATGAACTATCACCGGTGGGCAATCTCGTAGCCCTAAGACTACCCCGCAGAAACCAGGGCGTAAGGGACGAACGTGATCCCATTCTCCATATTAGACACCCCCAGTGGGCTCCAAATAGGTACACATTTCCCTACTAAACCATGGTTTCTGGAGGGTGTTGGTCCAGATTAGGGGAAAGGGATTAATTTTTGTGGTTTTAGCGGATGTTTTAGCTATATCTACCCTCCGGTAAACTAACATAACCATGGAAAATCACATTTTTTAATGGTTAAATCCACTATAAATGGTAATTTTCAATAGCTATGTTAGTTTACCAGAGGGTAAGGGTGGACTCATTGGAGTTGATGAAACATGCAAAACCTTGATGGTTTGCCAGGCAGTCTCCAAGGAACTTGGGGTGGCAGTGGCCACATGCCAGTATCGATTGATGCCACTGGGCCACACCTGGAGACAGGGAACTTGGGGATGGCGTGTCGAAGCCATGGTACTTGATACCCTCTGGTAAACTAACATAACTATGGGAAATCACAATTTTTAATGGGAAAACTCACTATAAATTGCCATTTTCAATAGCTATGTTAAATTACCAGAGGGTATATGGTAAAGATGGTGACACGGCCAGAGAATCAATCCATACGGGGTTCGGGACATTGGCCTTCTTTGTTGCAGCCGAGGCTGTCCTTGCTGGCTACGATGTAAGTGATGTTTGGTTTTATCCCAAGCTCTAGCAACTCTGCTACCGGTCAAGGTCAAGATCTTCGTTGGGCCATGGGCTAGCCAGAGGTTAAGCAACCAATCCAACCTCACTAAAAATTTTAAAACATATCCAAAGATTGGGCATTGCTACAACTCTCGAAAACTCATCACAGCTCATTATAAAATATTATAAACATGAATCTTCACTGTGTAATTACAACTCATTGTACAACCTATTGGGATTTCTTGGGCATTCAGCCAGTGTACAATGGCTCCAGCCTGCGGCTCCAGCGAGGCTAACTCATCCTCGCGCCGACGTTCCGTTCGATGCTGTTGAGGATGCTGAGAGGTGTGTCAGCTATCTCTCCGACAAGGTGCAAAACGGGTCGTGGGCAGTTGGTTGTGGCCCTTGCTAGAAATCACAGCTTTGTCGATTTTTTTCTTTCCAAAGGCCCCTCCATACATGAACATACAGTACTCTATGATATTCTATGATAATTATTCTATGATAATTATTCTATGATATTCTATGATATCCTATGATATTTTATGATATTCTATATGAAGATTTCCCGAGGGTCTTCCCCTCATCGCCATTCGCTCAAGACCTGGCGGCTAAATTGTTCTCGCAAAAAGGTTGCAGGCTGATCGGTCAATGATGTTAATGACCACATAATGATGGTTTCATTTTATACCATGACCAGAGCATCCCAAAATATCCCAAAGCTATTTCTTCCAAAAGGACATACTGACATACTGGTTGGTGTTGACAAATCATAAACCCAATGCCGCAATGCCAACAAAGAATCCTTATCGTACTACATATGGTGTTGCAGGGTGTAAATTCAAAATGACTTTATCAACTAACTCGGACAAAGATCCGGGTCCAACCATACCTCGACAGGGAAACCGTTTCCCAGGAAACCCTACCGCTTGGCTGCCGGTTGATTGGCTCTCCCATTGGGTCGACATTACAATGCCACCGGAAGGTCGAGTTTGTACGCCATAACGAGGAAACGACAATGGCTTGCACCGAACTGATAATGTGCACAAAAAAACCATGAATCCACTGCAGTTTTCAGTACTAGCCATAGAATTGTGACAATCATATACAGATTCATATATATTTATAATATATGTACATAATATATATATATATATAATATGTATATATATATGTACATATATGTACAATGTTCAGATACCATATGTAATCTGTATAATTCAATGGAGCGATACACATATTTCCCCTCGTAATTGCAGCCCTGCCAGAAGAGATTCCCATCCATTCGAGGCAGACGAGCTTGGCTTGGATCGCAACCGGTCTGGCATCTCAATCATGGTTGATTTTTGGGCAGGGTGCAATGAGAATTTTCCAGGATTTGGATAGAGGATACCCAAACATCGTGAGTGATTTAATGGGGATATTTGCTGGAGCAACTAGAACGCGATATATATATATATAACCACTATGATATTTTGCATGGGTTTGTTTGAACACCAATTTCCCAAGCATCATGGTTCATTTTCCCAACCAAATATCGCCATTTAGGGGTTACTCCATTTCTAAACGAATACTGAAAACGCTGCATCACAGTCACCATCCTGTCTTAGTTCTCTTAGAGAATCTTGAAGACAATATGATATACTATGTATATATATATATCGAGGAGGGGCAATAGTTGACAAGTTCGTGATGAGAGTCATACAACGGTTAATAAGATTTAATACGACTGCTTTCTCTGTTAATGAGAATGATCATAACAATCGTAATGAACTTTGAATGATCATCATGATCATGATCATTATAGAATAATCATTATCATCAGTATGATATCGCGAACAACAATGGCTATTATTTGCTTCAATGCTTATCTTTATGTGATATGAATATGTGTATATAATATAATCCCTTGCACACATAGTAATACATTCTAAATAAAGGGATGTAAGGGATTAACACATACTAGCCAGTATATTGTGTGGCAATGTTAACATCTTTTGCAGTACTATAACAGTGACTGGTTTGGATATTGACCTCGTTGCAGCATTGTCAACCTGTATTGACCAGTTATATTAATTATCCATAACTCAGTTATTACCAGATTATATTACATATACTATACATAATAGTAGTTTATATTAACCAGTAATTATCCACCCAGTAATAATACATATTCATACTATACTATACACAAACAGAGATATATCATTAATCTAGTATATCCATAAAATTCAATTCACCAGTTATACTGTATATTAAATGACATATATATATATATGTTATATCACTGGTTAATACTATATCAATCAAACTTTGGTACAGGATACATTAACTACTTACATTAACCAGTTTATCTTAACCACTGATATATTTCATGGCATGACACACACACACATATATATATATACATATATATATACATGCATACATACATACATACATACATACATACATACATACATACATACATACATACATACATACATACATACATACATACATACGTTATATATATATACATATATGTATGATTGGTTAAAATATTACTATATCAGTTCACCAGTGGTATACCATATATATATATATATTCTATGAACACCATTGCGTTGTGACCCTCGGCCGCCGCTCGCGGCCGAGGTTCGTCCTGGGGGGTCTCAGTGCCGGAGGCCACCTGGCAGCGATGGCGGCCTTGGAGCGCGGCCGAGAGTTGGGCCTGGCAGGTGGGACTTTCCCTGGATGGGTTGATTTCATGGAAAAACAACATGTTCCCTCTGGTTATTTAACGTAGCCATGCGAAATGACCCATTTATAGATGGTTTACCTGGGTTTACCTATTAAAAATGGTGATTTTCCATGGTTATGTTAGTTTACCAGAGGGTATAAATGGATGACTGGTTGGTGGTTTCAAACATGGCTGGATTATTTTATTTATGTTCCATCATTTTTTTGGGATGGAATAATCCTGAACCGATTGACGAACTCATAGTTTTCAAGATGGTTAAAACCACCAACCAGCCATATATAAATGGATGAGAACTGGGGGTACATGACTTCGGATCCCTATGTAAAATCCCCCCAAAACATGATGATGTAACTGATGGATAGTTTCTTTGGTGATCTTTGCTGATATCTGTTTATTTTACAGGTCGGATCTATATAGAGGACAAGAGAACATAAGAGAACTGAGTTTATAAGTTGTACCCCCCAGAATAATATAGTTTCATGGCATGGTTTCAATGTGTTTCATTGATAACTTCATAGAATTGGATGATGGGAAAATTTACAGGAAAGCCCTATATTTGATGGTAAAAACCATGGTTTCCTGTAGATTTTCCCTTAAACCAACCCAATGATAACTTGTTCATCTTTTCTTGAAACATGCTATTTTTTGACAGCTTATTTTGGAAGGATCAGGATGTGGGGAATCCCCAGAGTCGCGATATTCAACATAAGTCATCGATGTTCATCGTGGTGGCCAATATTAATGCCAATATCAATATCTGATAATATCGATATACTTTATGATTTTCCGATTTCTGGGTTTCTTTTTTGTTGGGTTGACGCCCTGAATTTGGCTGGATTATTCCCATGTTTTCTAGAAAATCTCAATCTTTTCTGGTGAATTTCCTCATGTTTTCTACCCAGCGGTGTCTGCGTTTGCAGGCTTGGTGCTTTTGAACCCTGTGCTTGACCTGGACTTTCATGCCGGCTGGCGCAGGCACTTCAGCGGGATACCATATACCACGCCGATGGTGGCAAACCAACGTGTTTCCAGGATGGTTTTTGGATCATGTTGCCCACATATTTTCCAGCTTCCCAACTTCTCGATCTTTTTGGAGGTTGCTATAAATGGTTTAAGCAACACATATTGGGATATCGGGATGTGATTGGGATATCATGGGGATAGATAACCATCTGTCACATATGAATTGGATTGTTTGGGTGTGTCTGAAATTGGGGGATTAATCCTCCAAATTTGCCATTCGAGTGAGCCATCAGGAAAATGGTGCTACACCAGTGGATGGAATGGGTGAATTTTCCAACAATCCCAATTGACAACAAAACATATTTAAACACATGATAAAGTGTCCTTACACATGATTCATGCGTGCCAAAAGGCCTTGATTCAATACAACTTGCCCCAGTTTGTAAGCGCCTTTAGCGGTAGTGACCGATGGTTGACCCATGGGGGTGTCCGTGTTGCCATGGGGGTAACCAGCTGCAGCCCTGCGCGTGAGGCAGACACCTGCGATTTGGTTGGGTTCCCATCTACTGCGAGCCTTCTATAGTGAGGACATTCGGGCTAAATGGGTTTGTCTGAAAAAAAGTTATTCATACTACATAATCTACATACCCCCAAAATATATAATAATAATTAATAATATATGTATCTGTATATGTATATGTATACGTATACGCATACGTGTATGTATAAGTATGTATAGGTTTAGGTATAAATAGTATAAGATAGTATAAGTATAGGTATAAGGAAAGGTATAGGTCCAAATACGTGTATGCTTATGTGTACGTATATGCATAATTACGTGTAAGTGTATGCATATGAATATGTATTTTGATGTCATTATGTATATAACCTAGTTATATACCATGGTTTTGTTTGACAAGAAACATAACACCCAACAGCCATCATGCTTAAAACCTCATGTTCCTGTGAACATGGCCATGGACAAAGGGGTGGATCCTCCATTTGGACAAAGCCGCAGCTGGCTGTGTCGTTTCAAACGTCTAGACATGACTTGTCCGTCTGTTGTATCAGCCCGTGTTTGAGTTTCAAAGGGATATAAAGCTTACATTGAAAATGAACCCCTTCCAACGAACCTCGGAGTGAAACCTCTTTAAAGAGACAACTAGTAGTGAAGCATCATGTTGGAGGGATTTCTGAAGGTGATTTTAAAACCTTACCATTGCCATCAACGAAAACACCTCGATCCCGTACTTGTAGGATCATCCCAGTCAGTAACTGCCAGGAAGCACTCCACCAAAAGTCGCCGCTGCATCAGGTGCGAACGGAGGTTTCTAGACCCCCCAATGATGTTTGGAAGTTTATAACCCATCAACTATCGTGATATCCCCCACAAACCCCCGTTAACCCATGACTACTATAGTTATATGCCCCAAATCAACCCAAACTAGTGAACCAAGCTATGTGCGTCAACTTAGCTACTGTAAACGGTGGCCTCACCTATTGTAGGTAGTTTGGTTCCCTCCTTGATTTCGCAAGTTTGACTATGTTTGGCATTCGAAGGCGACACTGATTTGGCATTTGAAGTGCCAACATTCTGATGGTTAATTATAGGGGGTTATTGTGTAGGGCTTTTGTTGCTTGTGTCGCTTTTGTTACTTTTGTTGCTTTGTTGTGCTTCTTGCGTTTCATGCGCTTCGTGTGCTCCTCTTCTTCTTCTTCTTCCTCTTCTTCTTCTTCTTCTTCTTGTGCTTCTTGTGCGTTTTCTTTTTTTTGTTGTTCTTATTGTTTTAGTTCTCTTGTTCTTCTTGTTCTTCTTTTTCTTCTTCTTGTTGTTGTTATTGTCGTGGTTGTGATTTTGTTCTTCTCCACCTTTGTCCATCATTATTCTATCCCAATATGTAAATTGTGGCTACCTCACTGGCCGACGTCAGGACAAAGGAGGGTGAATGTAAGTGGAACGATGTTAGAATCACCAAGAGTGTTGGGTTGATGAATGACACTTGAGCCAGATTGGTTGAACATTAAAAAGTGACTGAGAACATTCACGGACTCCCCCAACTCTTTGGGTTTTGGAAAATGATTTCCCCACAGTGATCATGGTCATCACATGGGTTCCATTGGTTCCATGGTTCCATGGTGTGATTCCGCTACCCCATCCATTGTTGCCATTTCTGTTTGAAGCTAAGAATCCAACTGGTCAAATCACCAATTTTCGCTGGTCAAATCACCGATTGTCTGCAGATGTCAGGTGAGGAGTTTGCCGTTTCCGACCCTCATCCTGCATGGAGAGGAGGATAAATTGATTCCCTTGGCACAGTCCAAGGCATTTATGGAGGAGATGCAAAGGTTTGGGGCTCAGTTCAATGCTTGGTGAATGCTCAAGTTTGTCACCCTCCTTCGGGTACTCAAACATGGAAATCGGAAATCCCCGAACGAAAGAACGTTTTTTTATGTTTTTTTTTGGGAACATCATGTCATAAATAGGGGGATTTTCCAGCAAGCCATGTTTGGTTGCCGGAGGGTACAGATACCGGACGGTGAATGGAGGTTCGCTGTAAGGTGCTGCACTGGTAGACTTGGTGAGGTCGTTCAGGTGACACATCAGTCATGCTGCTGAGCTGAGAGCATGAAACCAGAATGAAGACTCAACAGAAATGGGCATGGCTCAGAAATGGTATATGAATGGATTCACATTTTATGTTTTTACCAAACGATTTTTTATATCGTCTCCGGTGTCAAATTTTACTTGACTGGAATTTTCATAATTTTCACCAACCAGCTTGTGAATGCCTATTGCATCAAGGACTACATGGGTATTTTCTTCATTTTGCCATCCCAGTTTTGATGCAATTTTACCCACGTTTTCTTGGTCTTTATACCCACTGTTGTTGGAAACACCCTAAACCCTACCATGTTGTGCGCTTGACACCCCATGACGGTGATGTCAATTGTTTTCATTTTGAATCTTAGGTCTGCTGGTTATCATTCCCAATGCAGCTATCACCATATTATGTATATGATATCAGATGTTGAGGATTATAAGCAAAATATAATTCCACCTAATCATATATATATAATTATATATATATTTATACACATCTGTATAACCAGATATGATTCCACATGGTCGTAAAATGCAATATCTGTGACCAAACATCCAAAATACTATACCCAACATGACCACATTTTCAAGACGCGCCCTGCGAACAGCTCAGGTCCAACAATGATTGCAAGGTGGTTCCCTTCCCGCAGGCATGGTTTTCCGACAGCCGGTCGTGGACCGTGTGGATGGCTGATGAGGTTTCCTCCATCATTTAGCGAGGTTCCAACTTGTCTGTGGCTCTTTTGTTTCATAAAACATTGTAGAATGTTTTTTGGATGAACATCATGAGATCCTTGCTTCATGCAACTAGGGTGAGGCCCACATAAATGCTATGGACAGCAACCCGCAAGTGTATCAACATTGGCTCATATTTCTGTTTTTTTTGAGCGAAAGTGCCCGCATAAGAAGTGGGAAGACCCAAGCAGCACAGATAGTTTCTACTTTGTTGCCCGGAGTGTCAAGGAAGATCACGAAAGTACACTGTTGGAATTACAGTACCTTGTTTGACGATTGTATGGCTATGGTCAAAACCATGGTAGCGTACTTGGTTTTATATGGTGTTATACCGAAATAGCTGTGAAATCAATCTCTCATTGATATGAAAAGAAACAGACGTATTTTCACTGCTGACGACCTCATTTTGATTGGTGAAATCCCTGTCTATTACTGCTGATCAATTACCTGATTCATAATTTGTCAACCTTTCTGCTGAAAACGCCAGTCCCGTCTGGATCTGTCATACCAAACCAGGATGCAACAATGAATCTGTGATTACCTTTTGAGACTCAACGGTGCTTAGTCTCTGAACAACCCATTGCATTCTGCCCATGTCAACAGTTTGACTGCCTTCCTGAGAAGACTGCACATAAACGATTGACCATGAATCAGAGTTTCATGATGTTTCATGAAAAGGATGAGGCCGGGCAAGGCGAGATGCTGGTGGTTAATTCGGAATTTCATTTCGCACGATTTGTTGCGACCTGTTGTGTACAGGATATTTTGATGTCATTTGCATCTTCAAGGCTCTTCTGTACCCGCCACCAGAGTTTGGAACAGGAGAGTGCAGTTGACACTACATGCCGCGGTTCAAAAGTTGGATAGGGACTTATATTTACGTCATATACCCGTGAGATTCCCGTTACATGACGGATGACCATACTCCATATGCAATGTTTATCAATAGTTTCCACCATGGTACCTATGACTCCGTATGACCCTGCCGATGTTCCTTCGCAGCCACAGGTGGACCACGACTTTCTGCTGGCTCCTCCGGAGTTGGCGCAACGCCGGAAGCCTACAACTTTTTTTGGAAGCAACGACTTGGTAGTATTGGATTGGTTTCCAACATTTTAAGCCAATTTTTTGCTGGTTTCATCATTGTATTCCATCCGCATTGTTTAAAACTGTTTGGGTCAAATCCATCAAATATATGGCAAATCTGTCTGCAGTGTTGTTGCAGAAAAAAAATCATGTCCTGTCACTTTGTAACATGTTCTGCATAACATCTGATTTTTTTCAATTTGGATTGGGCATTGAACAACTCTAGCAGCTTCTTAACCATATTCCAGGGCCGATCATACTTCATGCCAAAATGGCTTGGAACATCTAGAAAATTGCAAAGACCCATTGAGATGAATTTTGGGTTTCATGATGTTTGCCAAGCGCACCTTTTCTTCTGGCACGTGCATTGTCAACTGCACCTGTTCCTGCCCCAAAAGATCATTCTGTCAGACCGTGGAGTACGATGACACCCTGGACTGCGATAATTTCTGGTATGCGAAAAAAAACATGGCCCCCTTGGGCCTTCCCAATAGGCCCTACATTGCTACACCATTCATTTTTTCTGTCACACACCAGAAAAGTTTCCCACTCGGCCCCGGAGACCCTGCTGGGGTGCCAAAAAGGGAAAAAACATCTGGAGCGAAAAGGGCATGGAATGCGATAGTATCTGAAACTGCCAATGTCTCAGGTGGGAACTCCATCTTCTCCATACTTTCCCCATACTCCAGAAATCGTGATTCCAGACCGTTTTTGCTAAAACAAAAAAGCATGCGAATTTCCGGATAAAAACAATTGAAATATGTTCCATTACCTAGTATACGATGATTTTGCGGAGTGCGATGATTTCTAAGTATATATGTGTACTCAACCGCTGTGCAGTGCGATGACATCTGTGGAGTGCGACGATTTTGTGCGGTGCGATGATTTCTGAGTATGTGTGGCTGGTACAAAGACCTAGGGCCACCACCAAAAAATCAAACCCCAAAGCCAGCCCAACACCACTTTTTTTTTGTTTTTCGTTGTCACCCCACGCTAAAATTCACACACATGGGGCATCGGCGTCTCCATGACCCAACTCTTTGATTAAAATTGAGCTGAAATGCTTATGAAAGCAATATATCTAAGCCCAGGTCTGGAGTGCGATGAGAAAATGTGGTATGCGAAGATTTTCTGAATCTGGGAATCATTCGGTTCTAGGTTCTAACACCTTTTCCAAATTTTCGCAAAATTCCAAGACTTACAACGCCAAGATATGTGGCACCTGTTGCTGAATAACATCGTTTGGTTTGTCAAATCCCAAGGACACCTCTGCACTCTTGGCAACTTTCTCCGCACTGCTGGGGAACCTGGTTTCACGTCTGCGCGGGACTCCGATGTATTTTTTTTTCAACAAACAACGGTGGGTTCTCCGGCAGAAAGTGGGAGGTTTCAGCCACCAACAACTGGGTTTTCACCACCGAAAATGTTGCAGTAGGCTCAGTAGGACTTGGTTGAGAACACCTATGACCTATGAACTACCAGAAAGTACTCCTTGGAAACATGTTCCTACAGTTGCAAAAGAGTGTTTTTTGGCCACTCAAACATACTTCAATGGGTCATTATAACATGTTATAAACACACTTATGCTAAGGGCAATACGTTTCATTCCATCTTTTGCAGTCCATTTCCCAAACTCTGATGATACCAATCATACAGATACAAATATATATATACATACATGAACATGTGCATATACACAAGCACATACATACATGGATACATGCATACATGGATATATACATGCATAGATGCATAGATGCATACTGTAGACACATAGATATGTAGATACATAGACACATGGATACATAGATACATAAATACACAGATCTAACATAGATACACAGATCTAACATAAATACTCCATGAAAGAGTGTACAAGGATACATAGATCCAACATACATACATAGATCTAACATAGGTACATAGATCAATAAATACATAGATATGTAATTACATAGATACATAAATATAAATACATAGATACGCAATTACATAGATACGTCGTTGCAGAAATACATACATACATACATACATACATGCATGCATGCATGCATGCATGCATGCATGCATCCATGCATACATACATACATCCATGCATACATACATACATACATACATACATACATAGATATATCGATCGATAAATACATAGATAGATACATAGATAGATCGATAGATAGACAGACAGATAAATAGATAGATAGAAAGGTCTTGTGCAGGGGTGCCTTCATTAGATGCACAGGATCTCTATACAGGCCTCAGGTCTTTTTGCGGAGCCAAAAGTTCTTGCTGTAACCCCCTTAGGGTTTTTCTTTTTCCTGAATGTTGGGTTTTCCATTGTCTTTTCGAGTTGGGGCACCAATCCATAAGCCCATTTGCAGAACATGAAGCCCTGTGTAGCAGATGACCCCATCAAATGGGGGACGCTGGAAGTCAAGGCATCTGGCCACAGAGGCAGTGAGGTGGATAGGTAGATAGGTAGGCAAATAGATACATGCATACATACATACATACTTACATAACTAGTAATTACGCTACATACCTAAATACGTTACCTTCTTGCCTACATACCTACATGCAGACACACATACACACATACATACAGACATACACACAGAATACAGACATACCAACAGACAGACATACACATGACAGCACTGGCAACCATCAACCATTTCTTAGTAAGCTTCTGATTTGTTTTATATGTCCCGATTTTTTCTTCCTAGCCAGCATTGTTGATGGCCATGAGGCTGGAGTCGTACACTGAAGGTCACGACCTGGGCGTGTACGGATGTTTTTTGGGCGAGAGGAAAGATGTTTAATGGAGAAAAACATAGGAATATTTACGCATCCAGTATATTTAATACTGTACATAACTGTACATATGTACAGGAACATGATGGAACACCATTATCACCATTAACGAAAATGCGGATTTTCCATTCCCAACAGGTTTGAAAGTCAATTTGGGTTTATCCAACAGTGGGGGATCCCTTAAAACCATCCAATTCCTTGGTCGTTTTCTATGGGGAACACCAAGATTAAGCTGGATACCCCAGTGGCTTGAGAAACACCAGCATATCCCAAATTCCAACGTCCTGGCTGAAGATCTGAAACGACGTATTCGATGGTTTGTAATCATATGTAATCACTATTTTTTGCTTTTCAAACATCTGAAGCAAAATTTGTTTTTCCAGGAAAAAATGATTCTCAGATGTCATTTTCTGAATGTGTTCCTTTTTAAAAATATGGTTTTCCTAAAGTGGAGGTACCCAACAAAAACCATCCATTCCCCAAACCGCCAAACCGTCGCGTCAGGGCTCCATGGCGTTCCGGAGACCAGACCCGCATGGCAAATGGAAACGAAGAACTTGAAGCGGTAGCAGATAAACATATTACTTAGCATTTACATATAATTACTTAATTTATCTGAAATTCATCAATCAACTCACAAAAACTAATAATTGATTGATTGCTTGATTTATTTATCTACATATATATATTATATATACGTATGAATAGATATGTACATACATACATGTATGTATGTAATTATAGGGGTTTGTCATTGTTTGTTTGGAAATGGAGTAACCCTGATTTATACTGGGTAAAACACAAGTTTAGACACATCGGTAAAATTAAAAGATGGTTTAGAGAACTGACATGAGGATGAATCATATATCTGAGAGAACTGACATATCTGGCAAACAAATGGTGTAAACGTAGATCTGTTTTTTGTGCATGCAACCAGAATCATAGACACATAAAAATGGGGTCGTTTTCGAACATCGGAGGCATTTCTCCACTTAGACTTGTATTTGTATGTATTTGTTATATTTTGTGGCACAGACATCGTTTTCTCAATTAATCGATGATGATGATGATGATGATGATGATTATGATGATCCACGATTCCACGATCTCATAGTGTTTATTTGCGGGAAAGGTTCAAACCAGAGATCTGGATAGATTGTAATGACCTCACGTCGCGACCTCACTGGAATTATGGCTACAGTAGTAGGGTAGCTATCTTAGAGGAAGCCTCCTTTCAGGTTAGCGAACTATTCTAATTTATCCAGATAGATTGAAAACTGTTTCCTGTGGAAAGGAACTCAATGGATACGCGCCACTCATGGTTTTTCAAATAGGTGCGTTGAAACATGCGGAGTCGAATCAAGTTGAATCGCTGGATCTTTGCACTCGCTTGGCCCGTGCCACAAAGCAAAGTGACGGATGCACACTGCGATGGTTTCTGTACATATGGAATTTGATGAATGCAGGTCTCAATTTAGATAGACCACAAGATGCCAACTCTTTCAAAACTTCTCCTAAGGTGAAAGCTCTGTCGCGGTTGTCAGAGTGTTTGTGCTTGGTACCTTTAACCTGTCATAGGTTTTGAACTGAGCAAACAGGCTGCACGGTTGCCCTAAAAGCTCACGATCTATAAGGGACTGACTGTCTTCTGTAGTGTCACTTGCGGGGAAGATTTTGTTCCAGTTCTCATGCATCACTTCTGATCGGATCTAGTGAACCTATTCGCTTCGTTTGGAACCCATTTGTACACATGTTTTTATTATATATTTATTATTATTTTTAGCCATTTAGGTAGTGTTCATATACTCTCCATATCTACTATTGATTTGTGCAATATTTCCGCAACTACGCGTAAATCTTTTACAATCTTATATACATGTAATTGATTTGATTCCAATTGTATGTATATAAACATGTATTTTAAATACATGTATATATATATACATATATATATACATATATACATATATATATACATATATATATATATATATGTATATACATAATACACATACATGTGCAGACACTGACACTTCCCCATAAATATATCTATAGCAAGTACTGCTTTCAGCCACTTTGGTTGAATTGTGTCCGCTTTGCATAGGATGAACCCCGACGAGAAATAGACATCTTTCACCGGAGAAGTGCCTCAAATTGCGACTGTCGCGGCCCCATGATGCCCGATGTGCAACTGGGAAAAAGATCAGGGTGTTTGGATTGGCTTAGGATTTTCCCTTGGGGTGTGTTTTTTCTATCATGATGCAACTGCTGATTTCACGTCTCATTTGTTCGATTCCAAAGTGGAGTGCTTCACAGGAATTCTGACGCCTGCGGATGTTGCGGGCGTTCAACATTGGGTTCAACCCCCTGTGAAGTGCGAAGGGATATTCTTCGTTTTTCCTTGACCCTCAAGGTGCGTGTACAAATGTGAAAAGGACAAACATGGTACCAGCCAGGGCGTAATGGTGCCCGTGTAAAAATTGTAAAACACATGTAAACCTTATTTCATTGAGGAAGTTATATACTGTAACTTGTGCTTTTTGAGTCACTGCTGTTTCTTTTTGCTTATTATAGTTGGTTGTACCACCTGGTTGTCCTCTTCACCCTGGGACGGTGGATTGGGCACGGTTGAGGAGTCCGTGGGCAATGTGGTGAAGGTGGAGGAGAAGATTGCGCACTGGTTTCAGAAGGCGGGATGGCTTTTTTCCCAGATGGGTGTGTCTGAAAATAGAGAAAACCCCATTTTCCCCAATGGTTTTGCTGATCATTATCCCAGAATTAATGGCTATTTCATTGGGAATATAGCCTATTTTCAGACAAACCCAGATTGCGGAGTTGGGATTTCAGATCTTTTCTCTGGGTAGGTACTGCGAAAATATCTTGGGACTCTTTGGTGAACTATATAAAATATACTTAAATATCCTAAAAGAACAGAAGCAGAGCATTTGGCGCCTAGGTTTGGGCGCGAACATCTACCATGAGCATACATAGGAATTCATCCATAAATGCTGGATGTTCAATATCTATATCAGTTTGTATGACTTTGCTGGAGGAAAGAGATCCCATCAGAGATGCCAAACATATTTTTAGAAGCCAAACATAGGATTTTCACTGACAGAACCAGGGCCAAATGGCCCATCATATCATGGTGATCTCCTTCATCCAAGGGATATCATGATATCCGCAGCTGCCCATATGGGCGTCAGAATATCCAACATTGGACCAAGGTATCCACGAGGATATTTAATATTAGTTGAAGGGAATACCCTCTGGTAAACTAACATAACTATGAAAAATCACAATTTTTAATGGGTAAATCAACTATAAATGGCCATTTTCAATAGCTATGTTAGTTTACCAGAGGGTAAATAGTGTGCAAAAACCACCGAGGGACTGGCCATGTTCAGTCATTATTTTCATTTAAATTTGGAATGGGTACCCATTCTTGGCCCATACCCAAAGAGTTTAGGGATCTCATCTTCTTTGGGAAGGTCTGGAAATCACCAACCAAAACGCCTTGGAAGAACATTGAGCATCCCAAAAGGTCACTTTCTTCATGTTCTTTGTGAAGTCCTTAGTAAGTTTGGTGCTCTGTGGTTCAAGTGCAGGGTCAGTTCCTAGAAATTGAACCCGGTTTTGCCCATCACTAGTGGCTTGTGACTCTCACTGTCATTTCTGGAAACACTGATAAGGCGTAACTGTGTTGACTCTACATTTGGTGTGGCATTAAACACATGCTCTTGTTGGTGATCATTATATATATATATTTCTTCTATGATTTCAGTTGTTGCCCGATGATTGGGCTAGATTGAGCCGTTTGATTAATATTGAATAAATCATCTTAGATGGGTTGAAACGATCATCCAGCCAACCATTTGCAGCAGGCTTCTGATGATCTTACATCTCCAATCCCCATTGTTTTCAAGACCTAAAAGACTGGTAATTCCCCATTTTTTCGGTGACTTTTCTACTGCAGTTGCCCCTCACGACTTGACCAGGGCGATGGCTTTGTTCAGACCAGCCTGCCAGTAGCTGTGGGAAGCTCAGAAGCGCTAGCCTTTCGTAACAAAAATGGCTGGAATTTTTGGGGGTTCCATAGTCATGGGGGTACCCCCAAATGGCTGGTTTATCATGGAAAATCCGAACATAAGATGGATGAGAACTGAACTGGGAGTTTCCCTTTAGGAAACCTCCATTTACTGGATCAAACCTTGGATAGTTCTTAGCCGGATTGGATGGACCATCTTGGCCCAGTAAATGGATAGCTTTACAGTTTTGGTTTTACTTGCATATGAATTTTGGGACGGTTCTTTTATGTTTTGGCTATGGATGAGGAGCTACCATCAATTTTCGAGTAAAGTCTGGATTGAACATGTCCATGAACACATGGTGTTAAGCCGAGTTCAGCAACATAATTGGAGAATGGGAATTCAATCAACAACGTTAGGGACAGAAGCAATCGCAGTGAGAATTGGTGGGCCAGAACTGCCAGGTATTTTATGGGGTCAACTACCAATGTTTTTGAGGATTGCCTGCAGGAGTCACTTGGGCTCATTGGGGCCCCATTTAGAAGAAATGGGGCTCAGACCTTGTTGGTTTGGAGACATCCCTTGACCTTCTGGTGTGGCTTATAAAAGGTAAAATCCATCTTGACAAACAACTCATCTTCAATCTAAGTTGCATGTCGTGTGTATGATTGATTTATAACACTTCCCCCTCCTCATCTTCTCCAGAAGCACTGAGAATTACCGCATCCGTAGGATTTAAGTGGACAGCCCAAACATGCAATCAGGACCCCTATTTGGATGTGCATGCCACTACCGCATATCTTGCTGGAAGTAGAACGTATCCCTTGTGTAACGAATCTATGACAGGGATACAGGCTCATAGCCATGGTTTTGAATTACTCACGGTTCCTGGCTGCACGATCTTCAAGTACTAACTGGGGCGATG